CCCAATCTTGGATCTGTTTGAAATTATGGATTCTACAGGCCACATTCTATAAGAAAAATTTTTCCCGGGTCGATCTTAGACAATTTTTTTTTGGGCCTCAAAAAAAGGCAGGGTATAACCTTCCTTTTTTACCAAAAATCGACTACACCAAAATTTCTCGGGAAAACACTTTTTCTTATTAATTTTGGTGCGTAGAATCCAAAACAAATCGTACTTTTTCGATTAGACCTCTCAATCAAAGGGCTGTAACTTTTGAACTAGTAGCCCAATCTTCAAACCGTTTGAAATTATGGATTCTACGGGCCAAATTCTATAAGAAAATGTTTTTTCCCGGTCAATCTGAGACAATTTTTTTTCGGCCTCAAAAAAGGCAGTATTTTTAAGTTATTCAAATATTTGTTAACAATTTAGAAATGTTTAGGGAAAGTTTCCATTGTCACAAAATTAAATATAAAAATCCGATACAACTGAATACCGAACGACCCTGGACTGAAACTTTTTGACTCGATAGTCTTTTACTTTTTTTTTACTTTTGAAAGTATTCGAATACATTCAAAAGTATTTGAATACTTATTTTTTAAAGCATTTGAATACTTTTCAATGTATCTGTATCTAGTATTCGCTTGTGCTGGACGTAAAAGTATTTAGTATTCAAATACCTTTGATTTGTGTAAAGTATTTACTATTTAGTATTCAAATACTTTTTGAAAGTATTCTGCACAGCTCTGGTTACCTCAAAAGTGAACTTTAAACAAATAGATACAGTAACGTACAAATTAATTGAAACTGCTAAATTATAAACTACGAGTAGTAACTTGATACGGTCTCTAAATTTGCCTTTGTTTTTACAACAAAAAAATAAAAACATGGAACACATTAATAATTCCACTTTTAGTCCAGGCGAACTAACCATTTTTTAGGCAAAAAAAAGAAAACAATTAATGGAGCTTTATCAAGTGGATATGTTAAAATAATCTATAATAAATACAACAAAAACTAAATACGTGATCAGGGGAGTGAGACTAAGTTTTTGGGGAGGGTCACTTTCTCACATAACCTTTTTTTTTATTTTTTTTTTGTTTTTTATTGTTCATATTCGAAAATGATTTTCTTGTCTTGATTGAAATACACTTGTTTATGATTCAAATAGCTACAAATTTTTTCAATATAAAAAATTAAGAGATTTCCGAAATAAAAACTTTTTCTTTAAAATGAAAGTTGTCCTTCATAGATTTACCGTAGGGAGTTCCATTTGGTGTCATTTTCAACGAAAAAACTCCAAAAACGACTTCAGTTACATTGAATTTTCAAGTAAATATTGATAATTCGTTTAAATTTTGGAAAATTGTCAAAAGCAACTGATTTCAGCATTTGATTTTACGGGAAAAAAATACAAAAGAAACTACACAAACACCACCTGTTGGAACCAGGATGCATGAATCCATGAGATTTAGACATTGATTGCCCTTAAATAATCATGCGACGGACACTGGATATAGTATGTGTACCTACATTAATTACATTTTTATTGGGTTTTGTATACGACTAACTGCAACAAATTAGGTCCGCAAAGTAGAAGCAACTTCCCGGGGTGAAATATGCTGGAAGTTAAAATTAAGTTTGAACAAAACTAATCCCACTGGAACCTATTCATAGAAATCAATTGATTGCCTGTTCTTTGTGATTAATCTGTTTTTGGCCGAACAAAGTACTGTATCAAATCATTCGACGGAAAACTCTGTTCGAAACAAAACTCCTTGAAGAACGGTAAACTACCGAAAAAGCTAATCAATCAGAATCGTTAATTGAATGATAACGTAATTTATCCACACTTTAAACACTCAACTCGCGCCTAAGTGGAGTTTTAATACGTTCGTGACATAATTATGTACACCACCCTTGGGAAGGCGTAAATTAAGTTCAGAATTAAAAGGATTTTAATCACATTCGTGCACTTTTGCACCCCCTCGCTCGAATAATGAAAACTTCGCATTGGCGAGAGAAGTTATTAGAATTTCGGTAGCCGTTATCTCCTAACAAAACACGAAAATAAACGAGATCTCGCCTGTTATTTTCATAAATCTTCTCCACTTTCTTTGGGTTTGCAATTAAACTCGTCCAGTGTTTGCTATGATAGTTTAATTAAAATCGATTAAGAGCGCGCGACAAGACACTGTTATCAAATCGCAGATAAGCCGTACGTAAACAGTACGAACAAATAGCGAAATGCGAGCGCGTCTTTAATCAGTGTGTAATTTACTTTGGATTAAGCTGAGCTTAAAAAGTTAGCTACCTAAAGTTAATGAGATTGTCTTTTGTTGTACACTTGTAAATAGGACCAATTCTAGTGTAAAGAAACTCAATTACATTCTACTCTATAAATACGTTTGCGTAGATGTCATTTGCTTCATAAGCAAAATGGTGAATTATCAATTTTTGGTTATTTTTTGTTGAAACATTACGTAGGCAACGTGGTATTCCAATGTCACGTACATTAATACTCTTAATTTTAAAGCGTTCTTATCAAAACCACTGCGCCTATTGAACACCTTTTAAACCAAATGTTCAAAGAATGCAATCTAGGATCACTGATTTATCATCATTTATGCAAGATACCTCATCGGCATTAGATAATCAATAATCTTCTTTTTTTCAGACATATCTAAATCCTTCGATGGCCTAAAATTGTTGATAAGGTAACCAAATTTAAGATTAAGTAACTCTTGACAAGTGGTTTACAATGGTGCATTTGCTGTATTGCGAATTGAAGAACGGATATCTTGGACTACCCCCCGAGCGCTTTCTTCACAAGTTGATAGAATATCCACTCCCTAAAATAACATTTAATTACCAATTAATTTGCGCTTGTTAGTAAATTCATTGACTTTTATTGGTTTAGTCGCCGTAAACGCTGATACTCTTTTTTTTAGAAAAAGCAGCGGTTTACGTCTCCCTCGGTTCATATAACGGTATTTTCAAATCTTTAAGTTCTCCTCGAATTTCCTACAAGTTTCTACTGAACCCCCTTCAACACATTTTTATGAAATACTTTTACTGTTGCAATCAAGCTATAGTCACGTTTCCCGCTCTTGTTGCTTTAAAGCTTCTTTCTAACTAATTAACCTCTCTCTATTCCTCCTTAATTGCTTTCAAATGCGTGTCTAATTCCTCTCCAGTTCCTTTCAAGTTCTACTTAAGTTCCTCAAGTTTTCATCGAGTTTTTCCTGTTTTCCTTTGAACTTTTCTCAAGTTCCTCTCACGCCTCAATTTGTTCTCGGTATTCTAAAGTGTTTTAAGCTTCTCTTACTACAGCTACGTTTCCATCACATTATTTTCATATTTACTTGAAGTTCATTTCAATTTGTGTCCACTGCCTTCTCCATCCTAATCTTATTCTTTTAAGCTCTTCTATAAGGGACTGTTCCTATTTTTTCAGACGGTCCGATTGTATAATATTCAATCGAACCCACTTTCACTCAATGAGGATCAGCTTTTCCTTTCTAACTTGTCTGATTCACTTTAACCCTCCACAACTGACACGGTCTTTCAAAACCGAACACTTAGATTATCATGAGTGCAATTCTTCTAAACCAACCAATATCGAATCTAATAACAACATACGACATAATTTCTATATGTATACAGTTTACCTAAATGATTATAATGAACCCACTAAATTGAAGGTTCTCTGTATTGAAATCTGAACGAACCAAATTTAAATAAAGAACTAATTTATTCTATCAATTCTAATTCCAGTAGGCTTACCAGTGGGAAACTACATTCAATACAAAACGATTTCGAATTTGCTCAGAAGTTGATATCTTTAAGAAACCACAGATTGTTCTTAGTAAGTTTGTTAAAACTTCGATCAACTACAAATTACAATTTTTCTTAACAACGCTCAAACCTTAATTGGCCTTTATACAGGGTGTAGCATCTAAGACCCCTTTTCCACAAAAGATTCTGAAAATAATGTTGGTTGAAAATAGTACACAATTACCGTCGCAATGTTTTTAAAATATTTTTGATTACGAGGGGCATGCTGTATTCCAGTGTCGACTTGTTATTTTTTAATAGAACACCCCATATTTTATTACTGTGGTGGTATCACACCAATGCAGAATTCTATATTGTGACGTAATTTTGACGTAATTCAATATACTTGTTATTGAAACGACACTCTTTTAAGAACGATCTTTTTACAGGGTGATCATTAATCACTTTCTTTTTAAACTCCACGATTGAGCGCCAATTCGTAATGGTCATTACAATAGGTGGATAATATTTTGAGGTTCATGGTGTGCTTGGATGCATTAAATTTTTCACCCCCTTCGTTTGGAATTACCTTCCTACCTTTACTTCCCGGGATAGCTCAGGTAAAAAGGGTTAATAGGAAAGAATTCAGTTCATGGTCGACTGGACATGGAAACTCAACTGCGGTAATAAGAGTCTCGGGTTCGAATCCAGGTTCGGGCGTAGATATTTGTAAATGTCCACTCAAAAATAAAGACCAAAAATAATTAAACAGCTAAACTCACAAATATACCTGCTGGCCAGCTAATTAAATTTATCTTAGTAATCAATGTGAGAAGTAATCCTAAATGAAGGAGTCTAAAACATTAAATAAATAATGTGAAGTAGGTTTTGTTTTATCTGCTTATCAGTCGGCGTCTGCGGAAGGCAACGATTCCTGCGCTACTATTATCGTTTTTAATTATTCGTTTATTCCCCAATTACTTTGGCGCTACTATTTTTTACATATACGCGCTTAAAACAATTCTATTCTGCTAAGATAAACGCGTGTTCAATCCGGCAAAAGCTGAACCGCTCTTCTCGGGTTCACACTTGAATCCCTTTTTCTCGCACGCGGGAGACCACAAGGATATTTTGGGATTTATTCGAGCGCGTCAGATGAAAGTAAGGTGGGTTGACTACGTGTTGGAAAGTGTGCATTTCATTACTCTGACGATTTGAGCGTGACTTGAGGGAGTGGAACTTAAAAGATTCAAAAATTGCATTTTATTACCCCTAAATTTACACATAGTCGAGCTATATAGTATTATTCTTCATCTTCGTAACCATCGGGTAACGCGTTCGTACGCGGATTATGAAAGAACGTCTTATTCCCGTCGCCCCAAGGGTACCTTTTGGTCCTCAGTCTCAAGTACGAATACTTAACAAATTCCGGCCTCTCCGGCTCTTCCTTGTCGCAAAAAGTGCAGACGGCCGTCACGGCCACCGCGGGCACGCAGAGTAGGAAAAAGATCCTCTTGTAGATCTTGTGCCCTCCTAAAGGTTTACTTGGAGACGAATTCCGGCGGTTTACACTCACCTTCGGGGTACGGGTGGTACGAGGATGGTCCGTAGATGATTTCTTCGGCGGGAGGTGGACATGGTGGTGGGCATTTCGACGGGGTAGGCGGCGGTTTACATGTCGACATTGTTCTTAGAATTCTGGTAAGGGGAAATCGAGACATTTCGGCTAAAGATTCTGTTTAGATCTCGCCACTTTCCCAAGGAGTGAATTTAAAAGTGTCTCCGATCGCTCCAAGTCCAAACCGGCAAGGAGTAGGGTAATTATTCGGTTTAGTGCGAACAGTATGGCCAGACACAGGAAAATATTACGATACAAGGCTGACGGTTCTGAAAATTCAGCGTTTAAGTATTGTAAACGATTAGTAGTGGATACCAGGCTTATTGCATTCCTCTTTCGCCAAATTTTCTACCGGCGGTTCTGGAGATGTTGTTTGCTTGCCGTCATGTACCTTGGTTCTTCCTAGAATTAAGGAAAATAATTTCTCAAAACTCAAATTTTGCATAATTCGATCGAAAATCTGAAGTTTGTTTTTTTGTTTCAATATCACTGGAAAACATGGATGCTTGATAAACGATTTCTGTGTTGATGGGGAGCTGGGATGGGTGCCATCTGAGTTGGATGAGTTTTTACTCATGTCCTGGCTGTGGGTCTTCTTCCATGTATAGGAGGATCGTTCCTTATATGCTCTCGAAGGAAGTCCAGAATGTTGTATTCTTCCTTCCAATTTCTTCGGATTTGGGCAGTCCCTACAAAGTCTTATTCCAAGTAAGTGGTGGTGTAGAGTTTGATGGCGAGGAACAGCCGACTTCCGTCGCATATTATTGGCGTTGAGAGCACATCCCTTCCTTGTACTAGCCTACTCTTGACGTGGAGAGCCCAGTTAAGTCGCGTGTCAAAAATGACTTTTAGATATCTGATGTTGGATCTCCAGGGGATTGCCGTACCACAAACCCCGATTTTGGCCGTGGTACTCAATGTATGCCTGAAACCATACTGTTCTTCTGGTAGAATTTGCTCGGTGACAGGCAATTCCTCTAATCTGGATTTGATCATTTTTCGGCTGTTCTCCCAATACATGGTAGCAGACTGATGGGGCAGGGTTGTTCCTGGGTTTCCCCTGTTGGTGGATGAACACTATCTCAGCCAATTTCCATAGAGCAGGTAAATAGCGCAGCCAGAGTATGGAGTTATTTGGTTATATTGACGATCTCCTTCATTGAGCTGCTGCGATTAATAATTTGGTCGTTTAGGTCCTTTGATGAGTGTTCCTGTCATTTTCCAGTAGGACTTGGATTTTTCATTTAGGCTATCGATTTTTGCATCTTATTTTGACTGCCAGAATTTGTTAAGCTCTTCTTTAACCTGTTGCTCCGGTCGTCGTCGGGAGCTAGCGTGGTTCTAGCCCTTCTGAGTGCCCTATTCTTGTCCCTGATCAGAGATTGTTGGGGAGCGACTAAGGGTCCCTTTTTTTGCATGGCCACCTCACTATTATGTAAATTACATATCACTTATTTAAGATTAGAATATAAAAACCAGAAAAACCAAGATACTTTGAAAAATATCAGAGATAGGTATAGGACATTATTATCAAAAGTTGAAGGTTTTTGGAGGAGCTAAAATATGACAGAAAAATATACAGGGTGTTCCATTTAAAAAAAGTGAGATTTTTTAATATGCAGTTTTGCAAATTTGTACCTACCAAAAAAACACCTTGTAAGCTATTTTTTTAATGTTTCATAGTAGATGTATTTATTTGACTTTTACTTAACCCAAGATAAAAGATATAAAACCTGGAATCAAAAATTAAGTAATAATTTTGACAAAAATATGCAAATGCCAAATTTTTCTTACAAATCGAATTATCTTTAAAACTACTAGTTTTTCGGATATTAACCATATAATAAAAAAGACGTACAATTACACGAAGAATTCAAAAATGCATTCAAATACAGGGGGTTCTATTTAAAAAAAGTACCATTTTGGCGCCCTATTTTGTGGGCGCACCCTGTATAATTCCAAATATTTTTAAAATGTGGAGAATATTCAACCATATCATAATACAAAAGCGCTCTATCGAAAAATCTTATCTTCAAGGCATTAAGTTACTCCGCGTAATCGTTGACTCACCCTGTACTACTGAATTCGGTTCATATATCCCTAATTTTATTCCTTTGTGCCTACACAGACTCAGGTCACCGATTCTAAGTTGTCTCCAATTACAAAGACCGATTCATTAATACAGCATGACAGAGCATTCGCCCATGAAAGGTACGAAACCACTTTTTTCGTTTGTAAAAGCAAAATCTACCTAAATAAAGGCATTCCGTACATAATATTAGGCGCCCTAATTTTTATTTAAACTATATAAAGGGCCAAGGAGTAATGAAGTGGTAGGGTAGCATTAATTAATTATGTTAAGGCGACCGGAACGTAATACGCTTACAGAGCCATTTATATTTTCAAGATTAATATTTAGTCGTCACTAATATTGTTTGCGAGCACAAAGGAAACGCGCCTCTTTCGCCTTGCCTAATAATTATTGCATAAACAAAGGAGCTGACGAACTTTGATGAGAAAAATGAAGTAAAAATGTATAAAGGGAATTCTTAACCCTTACAGTGTTCACAAAGCGAAATTCTTCATTTAAATTCGTGGCTATTGATTAAACATTCTATTTAACCATCAAAAAACTGCGCTCGGTCTTAAATATTGTAGTCTTTCGCCATCAATTGGGTTAAAAATTCAATTAAACGTAAAAATGGGCAACTTTAAATTCTTAATGAGTAGCCATATTGGTTTATGGTCTCCTTAAATGTTGACAATTACAATTACCGTTAGTCCAGATTTTTTACCATGCTGTAGGTATCCAAGGATTCCTGCATGACGTCGGCTTCATCCTGTCAGGTCGGTATCCTCGATGATGGTACGAGTAGCCCTTTCAGAAGGTATAAACTGGCTCCAGTCAGCGTTACCAATAAAAATGGAAATGTCACTCGCCCCCAATCCCAAATCAACTGGTCCCTGTAGTCTTGTAGTGGTATTCCTCGCCAGGTCGAAGATCGCAAATGGCAACCACCCGCTTATATTGCTTTTCCCGGCGAAATTCCACAATTGACGTTTGGTGAATCCACAGACACTAATTGCTCCCGAATATATAATTTAAATAATGAATGATTTAAATCCCGCCGTCGGGTGTGTAATTTCGACAAACGATTAAGTTACTTACCGTAACGTGTCTCTTTGCAACTATTAAATTTGCATGTCTCTCTCGACAATCGTGCGTTCAGCTATTTATATAAAATTGAAAACGGAACAAACGCAACTACTGAGTCTAGCGTGCCTTTTAAACCAATCAAAAACCCGCATTTCTTGTTTCTATGCAAATTTCGGCTCCAAAAAAAGGAACCAAGGTCGCTGCTACAACATGCCTGCCTACGTTTATCGTTAGTAATCAATGTCACCTGCTGCGCTTACAAAAAGGGTGTTTGTAATTTAACTCGTATGTGAATTATTATTATTATTATTAACTTTTGTAGTACACCAAGTGTTTATATTCTTTTTGTTAGTTTTGCAATGTAAAATTATAGCCATCGCGTTAAATAGATGGCTGCTAATTACATCCAGCTTCAATATTTGTGGGTTTGCGGATAATTGAGTCGATCCTTTAATGGATCGCCCGTTTTGTCATAATATTTGCTTGTTATCATTATACAGGGTCTACTGAGTATTATAAATTAGTAACCAGTTATGAGAATTAATTAATTACATGTATGTATTTGCTATGTCAGTAACGTAACGAAAGAAGTGCCTTGTGTACCTACTTCTGAATCCCTAAAATTGAAGGATTAGGTTGAATTTTCCGGATAAGGACGGGGAAAGTGGGCAAATATAAACTAATAGCGCTTTAGATCAGGAAAAAAGTATGGAAAAGGCCAAAAAAGTGACCGAATATAATGGGGTGTTATGGGCCCCACGTTGGGTGCCAAATAAAAATGATATGTGACATGGCAAACGATCAAGTACAGGTACTTACAAACCTTTAAAAGAATTAGTTGGAAGTTTTCTCTGCTGCAACAAATTTTTCGATTTTCGATTTTGAAGTACATTTTATTAATGTAAAAAATTCAGCAGCCTCTGAAATTCCAAAGAATTAATTAACAAATTTTTAATGAAGACCTGGGTACGAAATAGGAAAATTTAACTTGAGAACTCTTATCTGGGTCACAATTTGGGTTCGATTAATCACTAAACCAACCATTTACAGATGGAAGTCAACTCTAATGACCTGAAAGAAAGCGTGGCACTCAGAGTCAGATGAAACACACCACGCAACAAGCGATCGATAGAACAAATTAATTACTTACAGTGCTAATAATCTTTTTATCGCAAAACCAGATATACTTTTACAAAACGCAACGCAATTATGCCAGATGTCTTTAATCTTAAGTTTAAATTGAACAATAAAATAAACAAATACTAAATGATTATTTCAACAAATTAAATAACAAACTCTAATACAAAAACAAACTCGAAAATTTTTTTTAAATCAAATGAGGACCACATTTAGACTTAGCAAAAAATGAAATTCACAGACAGAGTGTCCCATCGTTATTGCAGGTGACGAAGCCAAATAAAACGTCCGCTTGCCGTAGTTTACACAACAATGTATAAAATTAATAATTAATTAATGGAATCCCAACATCGATGCCGATGAGATTATTAGTGAAGTTCGCGTTTCTTAAATTTCATGTTATATATTTTGTACAAGTGAGGAACAAATGTTACAGTAGTAGTACAGTAGTACTAATTTTTGACATTTGAATGTTACAAAAATTGGTCCTTACAATAAATTTCGCTGCCGGCCCGTGTGGTGCAGCTCTGTGGTGCTAAGGGTCCCTGATCCGAACCCATTGTAAATGTATAGTGGGTTGGGTTGGTAGAGCAGCCTTGTCTGAAACCCCGCCCACTGAAAAATAAAGACAACATTTTTGCTTAGCCTATATAAATACGTGTTAACTGATTTGTACTATGTGGTAAATAAATAATGTGGTATTGTTATATCCAAAACTTAATGTTGGTAAATTTATCACATGAAAATTTGTGAACTCTGTGCTCTGATAAAGCGCCAGTTTTAGATATCCAATCAAGATCAAAATTGATACGTAAGCTAAATCATACCTTTAGATCAATAAATACTGTACAATGCAGGCAATACATCGTCTGATTTATTTATGATGCAATCAATGAATAATTTCATGTAATTTTCATAACCGACAAATCTTAATGAATTGCAACCAATTGTTCAAAACATCAGGCATCATTTTTGGGAAACGATGTCATTTAGTAAATCTGTCCTGACAAATTGCCACACACGTTACGTTTCAACTTGCATGGTGGTAATTAACTGTATACATAATTATTGTAATAATGAATCGTAAATATGTATAAAACAAAAAAGTCTTAAATCAACCCACGCAAACTGTGCGCCATCTATTGAATTCTCTCCAAACTTATTGTATTTTTTCTCAGTTGTT